ATTAGGTTGCCATTTGAGTCCAAGATGCAAAGAATGTCACCTTTATCAGCTGATTCTCTCACCATCAGCAGGAATCCAAGTGGGTTCAAGAGCCACCGCCTGTCACTGTTGGGATCCTAAGTGTGCACTTCCTGAAAATCAACCATCCTGCTGTGTAATCAACAATATTTGCAGAAAACCATAATGCCAAAGGCATATTAAGGTCAGCAACAACATGCCAGAATGCAAAAGAAAAGGAATAAAAACACTTTTTGAAAGTTTGACATTTGTCAATGACTACTTTAATTTCTTTTTCATCTCTGGCCATTTTGGGAGAGGAAGATGGTACCTTAAAACAGTGTTTATCTCTCTTTTCCGCCCCTCACCTCAGGATCTCATAAGCTCTCACCTCCAATCTGTAACAATGTCCTAAGTACGTAGTCTCTCTACTTCCACCCTCCACCATCAATCCACCCTTTATCCTGTGCCAGAGTGATCTTGCCAAAGCTCATATCCAATGATATCATTTCACCTCCTAAAATCCTCCTAAGGCTCCCTAAGGCTTCTCAAAGTCCAGAGTCCTCAGATGGCCTCCAAAGCCCATGATGACCTGGCCCTGCCCATCTCCCCAAGCTCACCTCATGCTCTGTCCTGTGATCTGTGTGTACCGGAAGGAGCAGCTCATCACCCCCTGAAACTGCCCTCCGTTCACACAGGCCTTTGTCCCTGGTCTTCCCATTGTCTGAGTTATAATATTTATAATTCATTATAAAAATACTTTAGCATTGATGGCTTCATTTTATTTTCAATTAAGAGCTGTTTAGTTTAAATTTCAACCACAGTGCCAATCAATTTCCCTCATCATTAATCCTACTCCAGGGTTGATTGACTTTCATTATATTAGAAAATCAGATTCCAGAGGGTTCTGTGACCAGTGCATTTACTGGTATCTTGATCAAAACTGTACATTTTGCCAGTTAGCACGTGAATGTCAAAATGAGCTTTTATTGGTGCAATTAGTCATGAGTTGCTTAGCAGCTGTTAAGATGAGCCCCCATCATGAAAATGAACTGTTAGTCAAGATATTTTGATTCCCTTGCATGAACAGGTTATAAGAATATAGCACGAGTGATACACAACTTAGCTCAAAATAGATTCTAGATCTAAATGTAAAACCTAAAGCTTTAAAACTTCTAGAAGAAAAAACATGAAAAAATTGAGTGACTTTGCTTAGGCAAAGAGTCTTAAATCTAATACCTAAAGCACTGTCCATTAAGGAAATAAATGATAAATTGAACTTCATCAAAATTTAAAACCATTCTTTGAAAGATACTGGTAAAGTGGGGGGAAAAAAGTGCATCTTTTCCCCCTGGCTGCCTCGAATTTCTGTTTTCACTCAGTAGTTCACTACATGTATTTGAAAGATACAGAGGTGCTGCACCTCTGTATCCATGAGCAACACAGAGACTGTCTGGACCAGGAAGTTTATGACAACAAACTACCTCAGCGGAAACAAATAATCATTGGCGTCCTTCACCATCATCAACAGCACCTGAGACAGAAATTCGAGGGAAAGTAGCCAAAATGTATTAAAACACAGCAGATGTCATCTTTGTGTTTGGGTTCAGGACCCATGTTTGGTGGTGGCATTTTAGCTGGCTTTGGCATGATTTATGATTCCTGGGGTTATGCAAAGAAAAATGAACCCAAACACAGACTCGCAAGACATAACCTATATGAGAAGAAGAGCTCAGAGAAAGGAAGGCAAGAACAGGATGAAGACAGTCAGGGGTCTGCAAAGGCCAACGTTGGTGCTGCAGAAAGTGAGCTGGAGACTGGACGACAGAAGGAGTAAAGATTCTTCTGACATTATCTGTGGTGACGGCAGATTTTTCATGAGAGGATTAATAGACTAAGAACTTTATGTGGAAAAAAAAGAAAAGACAAAAGACTGGTAGAAAATATTTGCAAAATGCATATCTAATAAAAGACTTGCCTCCAGAAAAAATAGAATGAACTCTCAAAAGTTAGTAAGACAACAGCCTAATTAAAAAAGTAGGCAAATGATGTGAACACCAAGATATATGATAGCAAATAAGCCTATGAATATGCCCAACATCATCAGTCATTAGGAAACATAAATTAAAGCTGCAATGAGATATCACTACACATTTATTAGAATGACTACACTTTTTTTTTTACCTGACAAACGTGTGAGGGCATTTTCCTAAGTGAAATAAGCCAGACAAGGAAAGACAAATAGTCATGGTATTAGTATATGCGGAATCTAAATAAAGAGAAGTAATTGGTGGCTGGGGGTGTGAAGGAAATGGGAAGGGATTTGGAAAAGGGTACAGACTTTCATTATAAGATTAATAAGGCCTGGGGATTTAATGTAAAACATGGTGCCTATAGTTAATAACACTGTACTGTGTAATTTAAATTTGCTACTAGAGTAGAACATAAATGTTCACACTAAAAAAAGGAATAGATATGTGAGGTGATAAAGGTGTTATTTAACTAGATGGGGGAATCCTTTAACAATGTATACCTATATCAAAACACTTTAAATATCTTACGACTATAAGGTGCCAGTTATACCTTAGTAGAGCTAAAATTTAAGAAAACTGACAAGACTAGGTGCTGGTGGAAGATGTGGAGCAACTGGAACCTTTGCACGTTGCTGGTGGGATAGGAAAAGGCACAGCTACTTTGGAAAACTGTTTTGCAGTTTCTTATAAAATTAAATATACACCTACCATATGGCCCACCCGTCCACTTTTAGGTATTTACCCAAGAGAAATGAAAATGTATACAAAAACCTGTACATGAAGCAGCCTTATTCATAATCACCCCAAACTTGAAACAACCCAGATGTCACCTGGTGAAGAGTGAAATTGTGGTACATCCATATGTGGGGGACTGCTCAGCCATAATAAGGAATGAACAACATGGATTTATCTCAAACCCTTAACGCAGAGTAAAGGAAGCCAAACTCCAAAGGCGGCATTCTATACAATTCCATTTAGGTGGCATTCTGGAAGAGTTGAAACCACGGGACAGGAAATACATCAGTGGTTGCAAGAGCTTGGGGTGTCAGTAGAGGTTGACTTCAAAGGGGACAAGGAAATTCTGGGAGTGATAAGACTATTCTGTAATGATTATGCTGGTGCTTACATAACTATGCATTTGTCAAAACTCATAGAATAGGACCCTAAATAGGGTGAATTTTCCTGCTTATAAATTATTTCTCAGTAAACCTGACTTAGACAGAAAGATGGTAGTCAGGCCTGTGTTTGCATCGCTGGGGATAATGCCCAAGGTTTTTGCGGCCATGTGTTTAGGAATATTTCTTGTTGCCTGAGGCCAACTATAAGGGTAATAGAATCCTGGCCCGAATTGTGTCATATCTCCCACCAGGAGCATCGGATACATGCATCCAAAACAATAGAGAGTTAGGACTTCACTGAGCTCAGAGAATGGCCTGTGTGAACTATGGATGGTGTTTCTGTTTTCTTTTTTAAATAAATACCTATGTGTGTGGTATTTAGACTGAAACTTGCTTTTCATTTCAATGTAATACAAAGGTAATGAAGTAGCCAATTCTCACCCACCTCAAACATCTTTGGCAGTTACTGATATCTACCAAAAAATAAATTAAGAGGGGGTGGAGGAGGTAGAAGAGGGTACAGGGGGGTAAATGGTGATGGAAGGAACCTTGACTTGGGGTGGTGAACACACAATGCAATGTGTTATAGCAGCGGTTCTCAACCTGTGGGTTGCGACCCCTTTGGGGGTCGAACGACCCTTTCACAGGGGTCGCCTAAGACCATCGGAAAACACACATATAATTACATATTGTTTTTGTGATTAATCACTATGCTTTAATTATGTTCAATTTGTAACAATGAAAATACATCCTGCATATCAGATATTTACATTATGATTCATAACAGTAGCAAAATTACAGTTATGAAGTAGCAATGAAAATAATTTTATGGTTGGGGGTCACCACAACATGAGGAACTGTATTAAAGGGTTGCGGCATTAGGAAGGTTGAGAACCACTGTGTTATAGAATGGTAGGGCTGAAACCAACATAATTCTCTTAACCAATGTCACCCCAATAAATTCAGTAAAATGTAATAAAAAGAAATGAAGAATTGTGCATAACCAAAATGACTCAGGCCATTTCAACACAGAAATAAAGTGCACTTCTTCCTCCAGCTCATTCAGATATGCCCTTTCCAGACACTCGCAGTGTATGTGCTTCTTGGGGAAACACTGCCCTCTTGTGGCCATCTTTTTCTTGGTCAGCCCTACCAGGCTGTAGTGTTCAAGGACACAAATTGAGTCTTACATTCCCAGGGCCTAGCACAATTTTTACAAATTCATGGATGTTTTGTGTTTTATTTAAGTAATAGACTAACATTAATAAATATGCTAATAGTGATGACATCCAGCCTTACTATGCACTTCCTTCGTGCCAGTCCCTATGCGAAACACTTTCTATGTGGTAGCTCCTTAGGAATTGTTATCATTCCCATTGCACAGATATGGAAACTGAGACAGAGAGAGAAAAAATAACTTGCCTGAAGTCACACAGCTAATAAGGGTTGGAACTGGGAATTGAAACCAATGCAGTCTCATTATACAGCTTCCACATTTTAGATCTGTGACTTCTGCCTCTCATTTTTACTACAACAATATCTGTTGAAAAATCTAATGCTTTTCACACTATGCATGCAGTCCTGTCACTGACAAGGATTTTAGAGCTCATCTATTTCTCCCCCACAGCGTATGGATTCAATAAGCAAGGACCACAGACACTGATTTGCTCAGGATCACTTACCTGTTCTGTGGAGTAACCAAAATGGCTTCCTGGTGAAAGGGGGAGGGGCACATGCGGTTTTACAGACCACTGCTTCTGCAAATATTTGAGTGCACTATCACAAAAAGATCATTATTCTCATCAGAACGATGAATTGCTCATTGCTCTCCCCATCTCTCTGTCTTTTCCAGGGTTCACTGTTTCCACTATCTCATCCCTCTTGCAAAGGAGGGGAACTATGCCATCGTTGCCAACGTGGAAAGTATGGACTATGACCCTCTGGTGGTCAAGCTCAACAAAGACATCAGTGCCATCGAAGAGGCCATGAGTGCCAGCCTGCAGCAGCACAAGTTCCAGTACATCTTTGAAGGTCAGCCCTGCCCCATCCCTGCGTGTTCAGGAGAGAGGAGGGGCTGGTGGCCTGATTTTTCTCTATTATCGAGGTTTAAAACTTGTGGGGAAAGGTGGTTGGAATTTTTATATCTTTTTTGCTTAAAGCAGCAATGCCTGGTATCTCTGTATGGCCAGGTAGACAACAATATGGCTGCCATCTGCTCCCGGTTGATAAGGAGATTTAATCCAAGATAAGGCAGATGGCAGCCGGCTGCCTCCCTGACATGCCACTCATGAGAGTTGGGTAAATGTGTGGAGGGCCCCGAATTCACTCAAGAGGAGCTCATAAAAGAAAAAGAAACATACACCGTGAGGAGAGGGCCCTGAAAAATCCCTCCTGGCTAACATTTTCTCTTAGAGAATGCGTTATTGTGGGAAAACAAAGGCAACCTCTGATGGGCATTGATTTTAGGAAGGCTGCATCCTGAATGCCTTCAGGGCAGGCCACAGGCAGGGGAGGGAATGAGAGACAGCACAGTGGTGCCAGGCAGGTAATTTTTCATGCTGAATTCCCTCCTAGGATCCCTGTCAGGACTTCACATTGCCTTCCCTCTTTTCTTGTTTTGGTTTCTTTGTACATAGACCTGGGTGTTAAAAGCATCCATGGTGTGTCTCAGAATGAAACCAGTGTTGTTTACAACTATTAAGAGGTGCGTCATCTAAAGGACTGTAGCCACCTGAAGAGAGGCAGTGATGATGCCTGGCTGTTGATTGCTTCATGAAACAGTTGTGTTCCAGAGAATGTGGACCTCTAAATCCTATTTTTTCTTTATTTTTATTTTTTGATTGTCTAAAGTTTTACATATGTCTCCTTTTTCCCCATTTGACCCCCTCCCCACACCAGCCATTCCCACCCCAGGCAAGCCCCCACTGCCCCAGTGTCTGTGTCCATTGGTTCTGCTAATATGCATGCATACAAGTCCTTTAGTTGCTCTCTAACCCCCCGCCTCCCCTGCCCCTTGTCCCTGGATCTATTCTTGTTCATCAAATTATGTTGATCATTATATCCCACATATGAGTGAGATCATGTGATATTTATCTTTCTCTGACTGGCTTATTTCGCTCAGCATAATGCTCTCCAGTTCCATCCATGCTGTTGCAAATGGTAAAAGTTACTTCTTATAGCAGCGTAGTATTCCATTGTGTAGATGTACCACAGTTTTTTAATCCACTCATCTGCTGATGGGCACTTAGGCTGTTTCCAAATCTTAGCTATTGTAAATTGTGCTGCTATGAACATAGGGGTGCATATATCCTTTCTGATTGGTGTTTCTGGTTTCTTGGAATATCTATTTTTTCTTTAAATCATATCATAAAGCTAGCTGTTAGTGAGCGCCTGGCATAAAGGATTTGGGGGCAGCGGTCACGCTCTGTAGCTTGAATCTGAGGTGCCCATCTGAGAATTCCCTTCTCCCTCCTGCACAGTGTCCTCTCTGGGTTTCACCGGGGCTCTCCCAAGCCCTACATTCTCTCTCCCAGAGTTTTCCTCTCATTGTGCCCAGGCATTTCTTCACATGTAATCCTGCTGGGAGACCACGTCTCGAAATACAGGCCTGATCCTCTGACTTAGAATTAATTTTAACTAAGAAAGTTTCAGACTTTATGTTTTAAAAGCCAGTTATTTCTCTCCAATGTCATTTTCTAAATTCAAAAGGTATAATATTGAGTTTCCCCAAGCTGGGGGAGGAGGTGACAAGGTCTCAGGCTTCCATGGGTGGCTGGGGGGAAGTACTTCATCCCAGCTGTGGTTTAGAATTGCTGGTGTGTAGTGATAACATAAAGCAGACCAACTTCTAATTGGTTTTATTATTATTTTTTTTTTTTATTTATTACATAAATTTTTATGTAATATATTTATTAGTATTTACTATTCTTTTTTATATGTGTTTTTATTTATTGGAGAGAGAGGAAGGGAGAGAGATAGAAATATCAATGGTGAGAGAGAATCATCAATCAGCTGCCTCCTGCTCGCCCACTACTGAGGATCAAGCCTGCAACTGGGGCATGTACCCTGACCAGGAACAAAACCATGACCTCCTGGTTCATAGGTCGATGCTCAACCATTGAGCCACACCGGCGGGCAGTATTTATTATTCTTTATAAACAATCCACTTGCCTGCACCCATTGCCTACACTAGGATTTACTGCAAATGGCAGAACAGAATTATACCTGGAGGTATGGGCTCAGGAGTAGCAGCCGAAACTTGGCCTACGGAGATTTTTCACAGAAGTCAGTTGTCTGGCATTAATGTAAAATCCCTGTGTGTCTTTTCCTCACTTTCAAGTAGTAGCACATGCAAGTGGGTTTATGGGCTGGAAGCAATGTTGGTGAGTATAGCAGAACAAGAGAGCGCACACCTTCCTCTTCCTTTGCCACCTTCATCCTAATGGAGGGGAAACTCATTTTGAAGACAGAGGGAGCCATTACACCCAAAGACGCACCCTAAGCTCTGACTTGAGCCACAGTCACCATGGAGGGACTATGCCTTCAGAAGAGGAAAGTAACAAAGACAGCAGACCGCTCTGGACTAGTCAGACTAGCACTCAAGTTCTGGGGAAACAGCCTGCTAGAGTCCAACTCTGCAAGAAAAAAGGAAAAAGAAGACCTAGAAGTTTACTTAATTCCAAGTATTTAGAATTGGAATCTGGCTTCTTGAAATGGTAATCTACATGTGCCTCGGGTTGTTCTGAACTCAATTACATAGGATAGCCTGAATGGGACCTGTAGTTGTTGATGTTCTGACCTGCTCTTGGTCAGTTTCCTAGACCTCAAGATAGCCCTTTGGAGACAAAAACAAACCACTTATCAGACTCTAGAAATGCCCATAGCTATTTTGGAGCAACTCAACAGTTATACATGATCTTCTTTCTTTCACACTTTGCTTCTGCTTACATTTTCTCCAATTGCTACTTCAGAAATATACTCCATTGTCAGTATTGAGATGTATTAGCATCAGTGCCAATAGCCCAATTTCTTATTGATTTATTTTTGCTTAGGTAGGTCCCGAAGCAACTTTTGAGGTAGTGTATACTCCTATGTTTTGTGGGAGAAAGAGGAGGTCAAACACATCATTGTATTTACATGTATTGTCCACTTCCAACATACCTGTATAGGAAAAGAGTTCCTGCACTGTAATAGTTTATGAAACCTGACATATTCTCCAAGCTCTGGCATGACTGGGTGTACGTGGTGGTGCTAGAACTGTGGATTTACCAGGTTTTGTTGCCAGCAAAGTCTCCCCATTTTTCAGTACCAGGGCAGCTCTGAAATCATTGTGACATTAGCTGGTAAAGCCTGTGTATTCGTGTATTCTTTGGTCATTTAAATGGTGGAGGATTAGAAGAGAGAAATCCTGTGTGTCAGTTTATGTAAGAATCTATTGTTCTATTGTTTCTTGTCTCCCCAACCCTGTGCCTATCCGTCAGGCCTAGGACACCTGATCTCCTGCATCCTCATTAATGGTGCCCAGTACTTCCGGCGCATCAGTGAGTCTGGCATCAAGAAAATGTGCAGGAACATTTTTGTTCTTCAGCAGAATTTGACCAACATCACCATGTCACGGGAGGCAGACCTGGACTTTGCAAGGTAAGAGGGACGATTGGGCTCAGTTCCTTGTACCAAAGCCTATGAGTCATTTTTAAAAGTAGATTATTGGTTCTTAAAAAGTTAATTTAGCCCAACCAGTGTGGCTCAGTGGCTGAGCATCGACCATGAATCAGGAGGTCACAGTTTGATTCCCAGTCAGGACATGCCTGGGTTTCGGGCTCATTCCCCAGGGTGGGACGGGCAGGAGGCAGCCGATCAATGATTCTCTCTCATCATTGATTTTTTTTTATCTTTCTCTCCCTTCCTCTCTGAAATCAATGGGAAAAAAAATATTTTAAAAAGAAAGAGTTCAACAGTTGCTTAATATTAATTAAATTTAGTGTGATCATTTTGCAATATATACATATGTATATCGAATAATTATGTTGTACAACTGAAACTAATATGCTATATATCAATTATATCTCAAATTTTAAAAAGCAAAAATAAATGAAATAGATTTTCATCAGTCATAGAGAAAGATATTCTATAAAATTCTATTGGAAACAAAACATCCATTAGGTAATTTTTCCTATTGTTTAACCTAAGTTTTTCTTGCTGCAAAACTTTACTAACTTTTTTTTGGGGGGGGGGTTATAAAAGTATTATATGCTATTGCATAACATCTATATAGATAGCACCAGTGGGGTCCTCGGCCTGGCCTGCAGGGATCGGGTTGAAACCGGCAGTTTGACATCCCCTGAGGGGTCCCAGATTGCGAGAGGGTGCAGGCCAGGCTAAGGGACACCACTGGTGCACGAATCCGTGCACTGGGCCCCTAGTATGTGATATAAAATACAAAGAAGATTATAAACATTACTTGTAAACTTTTAATCTAGAGACCGTGATATTGGGTATACTTTCTCCTGGTTTTTGTGCACGTATTCTGTGTGTAGGGGAGTTTTTGTACATGCGTATACATGCAATTTCTCTTTTTACAAAATTAAAACTATGTTAATGTGGCTTTATATTCATTTAATTGTAATTTTCCATATCAGATCATTATACTCTTTGAAAACATGTTTTTTCCCATATTTACTAATATTCCTTGAAAATGTTACTTTTAATTTCTTGTAAATGAACCTTAATAACTTGCAAATTTGCAGACATTGGGTTTTCCCCTTTTTTCTCTCATTGTAAACAACAGGTATTGAATGTGTTTTTACATGAACCTATTTCCTTGTCTCTTCCATCTCGTCCCAAGGAAACCTGCCTCCCCTCCTTTTCCTGTAATTGAAGCTGCTGCTTTTAAACGGCACTTCCTCTTTTCTAGGTTTGCTGATTTCAGTGTTTAATGTGTCTTTATAACGTGTCTTTTCAAATTTGCGAGTTAATTTTATTCTCTCTTTATGAGGTCTCAACACCATTTATACCTTGCTTCAGTCATCAGACCTTCGGTGTTTTAATGAAAGTTTAACCAGTTTTGAAGAGGATAGATGATGATTATGGCTTCTCAGTGCTAAGCTTATATCTAGCTGAATTATTCCACAGACTCCTTTATGGCTAAGAAGTCATTTGTTTTTAATAATCCAGAGTGTTCCTGCGTCATATTTAGTACTTCTGTGTCTTTTCGCTTGATATTTTGATTCCCTAAGAAGTTCAAGAAAATTTGAAACAATTCTTGAGACATTTAAGGAACGATGAAGTATTATATTACCTTGACAATTATTAAGATGTATGCGAGGAACTTTGCTTTGGAATCTCATAGTCATATATCTTTGTGTTTAACCTTTCTTCTCCAATCTGTCACTGCATTTGTTCCACTGCTGCCCTGTTCTTCTGCTTCTCTGTTCTCCTTCCCTGTCTTATTTTTTCTGCATGTGTGAGTGTGTGTGTGTGTGTGTGTGTGTGTTCATTAAATTCCCTATTTTAGGCTAAATTTGGTGGAAAGCCTTTCTTGCCCAGATTAGAGAAACCAGGTGTGACTGAATGCTGCATTTATTTGGTCGCTCTATGGGGAATGATCTCATTATTGAATTAGTCTCATAATAACATTGACAAGGGGAACATAAGAACGTGGAGGCCTGAGGGATAGAGAAAAGCATTACTAATTCTCGGAGGAATATATTTTCCTAAATCCAATCATCCTTTTTAAATGATTTTTTTTTATTTAGCTGAAGTAAGTAAATTAACACAGTTTTTGGCAGACAGTGTGGGGCTCAAACACACACTAGAAAAAACTGGCATCTGAATATTGAATGCTGACTGGGCAGTATTGGAGTTGGCTTCTGTGGCCTGAGTGAAACAATGGAATAGCAACCGAGGCATGCCTTTCCCAGCTGGACCTGTGACTGAAGTCCAGGGCGGTGGGTGTAAGCTGAAATGTGGCCATTTGGGACAGGCATGACTTCTTGTTACTCTCCACTCTTGGTGGGTTAGGAAATAGGCTAGTGTAAGTGCATGGCATTGGGTGATTCTGTCCTTCCCATCCTGGATCAGAAGACATCTCCTTACCACACTGTAAGCTCAAGGGGCCGAGACTCTTCCTGTCTGTTTCCTCGGTGCCTGGTCCAGAGTAAGTGCTCATCGTGTGTATTGGACTAATGAACAGGGACCAAATCCAGGCTTCGTTTGGTATTGGTGAAGGGCTTGGATAACGCCAAAGTTCAGTTTTATCCTCACTGCCCTGAAAGTTTTAATCAGCTGACATGGGTCAGTTTCCTTCTAGGCTTATAAGAAACCAATCATCTCCCTTGCAGTCCTTTCTTTGTAGAGTGGAAAGTGTTACAGAGAGGAGTAATGTATCCCTACTCTTCACAGGCCTTGTCCCTCATTTTCTCTTGCCCTCATACACACACACCAACATAGACACACTTTACAGCCTTATCCTTTTTCTGCTCCCATTTCGGTAGGGACAGTTTTGTGAAATGGGCTCCATCAATTCTCCTGAACTTGAAGCTATGTAAAATAAATGTAACAGCAGTACCAAAATAGCCAGAAATGATAGACTGGGGCTGTGTGCCTCAGCATTCCTTAGGCAATGTCTAATCAAGCATGGACAGCAGCTGTATTTCCGGCCAATCTCTATAGGAATGTTATCTTCTAACACAGTAATTAATCACCAGTCACCATGTGTCAGAAAACTTATTTAACAAGAAGTTGCAAGATGCTTGTGGTTTTTCTCTTCCGTAGCTGTTCTGGCCAGTGGGAAAATTAGCGCCCTTTCTGTAATAAAGAAATGAGGGCTCTGGGGTAACTCCGTTTACGTTCATTCTTCTGCTCGGGGTGTTGTGAAGTTGTCTCTTTTTATACACACCTGTGCTCCGTCTAATCTCTAATAGGAGGATAAACTTTGGGTGAGCAAAGGGTCAAGATGGCCTGTGATCACCAGAATTGCAGAGACCCTGTGCCCTGTGGTAATGACCTCTGCTGTGGTTCTCACCCTCTGACTCCAAGATTAATTTTCAAACTCAAAAAGAGGCTTTGTCCTGGGAAATTGCTGGGATTAACTGAAAAGTGGAAGGCTTTATCAGTGTGCTTTTTAATTCCTGTCATCAGAGATCATCCTGCCCTGAGCTGTCACTTCTCCAGAGCTGAGTCACGGGGGACAGTCTGGCATATCTCAGGAGTCTGAGTGGGCACTGAAGTTCCCACGGTGGACCTGGCAGTGTTTACAGTTTGTGAGGCCATTACTCAGAAAGAATATTCCAGAGCAGGGGTCCTCAAACTACGGCCCGCGGGCCACATGCAAATACAAATATCGTATTTGTTCCCATTTTGTTTTTTTACTTCAAAATAAGATATGTGCAGTGTGTATAGGAATTTGTTCATAGTTTTTTTTTAAACTATAGTCCAGCCCTCCAACGGTCTGAGGGACAGTGAACTGGCCCCCTGTTTAAAAAGTTTGAGGACCCCTGTTCCAGAGTCTTCCTCCTAGGTCTCTCCCCCACCCCCATTTCCTCTTTGTGTCTGTCTCTCTCATTACAGTTGCCTCTCTTTTCTCCTTTATCTCTCCTGTCACTTCTATTTTCTGCTTTTCTCCTTCAAGGTGTCATCTCACTTTGATTTTCTTCTTATTTTTGTTTTCCTGAGAATGGTATCTCTCATTCCTCAATCTCACAAAGGTAAGGAAATGAAAGCTAAGGTTTAGGTGTGGTGAGGGGAATTCTAACACAGAAATGAACACTTCCTCACCCTTGTGTTCCTGCCTTGATTCATTCAATCACTCATTTATTCATTCAACAAATATTTATTGATCATGCATCCTCTGTAGATCCTCCCCTCATGGAACTTGCATTATTGTGGGGCAAGACAGACATAAGTAAAATATATGTATGTCAGATAAAGGTATATGCTATGGTAAAAATATAGGCATGGGAAAGAGAATTGAGTGCACCAGGGTATAATGAATGTAACCTTCAGTTTGGGAGTTTTTGTGGAATTCCTCAATAAGATGGCAGCATTTAAGGACAGAGCTAAGGGAACAGTGAGAGTAAATCCTGTGGCTCTCCAGGGGAAGAGCCTTCCAGGAGAGGGAATCTAAGAGCAAAACCCAGAGGGAGGAGTGTGCTTGGCATTTGAAGAACAGCAGAAAGGCCAGTGTGGCTGAAGGGAATGAGCAAGGGGAAGAGTAGGAGGTGGGGTCAGAGGTTTAATCTAAGAGGCTGCGACCTTGAAGCCTGAGGTAATGATGTGTTGGCTTTTACTGTGAGTGAGGTAGGAAGCTGTTAGGGTTTGGAACAGAAGAGTGCCATCATCTGACTTACACTGTAAAAGAATCACTCGGGCTGCTAGGTTGAAAATAGACGATTGGGAAGAGGAGGTTGCAGGCAAGGGCAGAAGCAGATGGAGCTGTTAGAAAGCGACTGCAGTGATCCGAGTGAAAGATGGTGGTGATTCACAGCAAGATGGTAGCAGTGGCGAGGATGGCAGGCGGTCAGACGAGGATATATTTTAAAAATACAGCTGATAGGATTTGCTGAAGGTTGCAAGTGAGCCAATGACTCCAAGGTTCTTTTTCTGAGCAAGTCACAGGATGGAGTTTTCATTTACTGAAATGA